TACTTGTACATGCATTTGTGCCTCTTACATGTTTATATTTATTTATTTTTATAAGTCTTATAAGTCTTTTGTTTCCATGTGTTACTTTTAGATTTCTCTGTCTTCTGTTTTTACGTTACCTTAAACTTTATTCTAAACTGAGGCAGCGCAAGCATGCACAGTAGATCTGCACATGGATCCTGCTCCTTCCTGTCTGTTGACCAATAAGAGAGGAGCTGACCCAAGAAGCTCTGCTCACCTTATTTGCATAATGAGGCAAAAATGCATAAGGAAATGTAAATACAGGAGGCAGAGAAATGTAAAAGCAACACGTAGAAATACAAAGGCTTGTTTGAAAAATTATAAAAATAATAATCAAATATAATCATTTAAGAGACACAAATGCATGTACAAGTAAAAGAAAAAACAGTAAAATGTAAATTATGATAAAATATACAATTTTTTGGAACTAAGCTAGAAAAATAAATATATAAAACATGAGGTAAAGTTCTCCTTTTTTAATTTAATTAGTGCATTTTAAGTGTATTTATTTATTTAGTGGTTCTTTTATATATTTCTGCTTTTATTTCTAATTATGTCAGTTTTGGTCCTCCACAGTTTTGATACTGTTCCTTTAAGATGCTTCAAGCTCTGCCCCCCTCCTGCTTCCAGACCGGTCCACTCCTCTTTTGGGTGGGGGTTAAGTTTTCTAGTGATGCAGAAACTTTTTATTTATAATTAAATTGAAATATGTGAACAACAGGAGACTTGTCCATCCAGCCTTCCATGTGGGAGCCAGAGTCTGACCCAGAAAAAAAAGATTTTACTTCAGAGACCTTCTGGTAAATCCATCTGTCTCTGCTGAAGGGTCTGTAAAAAGCTTTATGGAGCACTGGTTGCATAAAGTTCAAGCATTTAAAACAAACCTATAAGTCAGCGCAGCAGGGGACACAAACGAATGGGTGGTGGTGGGGGGGTGTGTGATCTGGAATGGTACCGAGGCTCGGCTCGGTTCAACTCCTGGGCATTTTGGTTCATGCAAGCGTGTTACCTTGGTGTCCAAACGCTGCAGGTAGGAACAGATGTACTCGATGCTGGCTCCGAAAGGATGGACGTGCAGGAAGGTTGAAATGATCCCTGCGGTAGGAAAAAAAACAAGTCATGCAAAGATGTTGAACACAAAGGCAGTCCCCGCACTTCTAGTTTCACTCAACCATTAAGCATTGGCAAATTACCAAAGGACATTCAAAACACCGGTTTATCCAACTCCTGCTCGTCTCTCGGAGCCGAGTGGATGGACCAGCTTCAGGAGACGTCTCCCAGACTCCCATTACTGTTAAAAGCCTCTTGTAAGTTGTCGCTGCAGATTAGGACGAGTGTTTAATGACGCCTTTGATGCTGTTGTCTCTGATCAAAGCCGTGCTCTCCCCCAGCACAAACAAACCATCTGTTATCATCGCACAGAAAAGACCAGGGGAGAGCTAATCCTCCATCTATGATTCCTAACAACCTAAAGAGCAACACAGATGCAAAGCTTTCCGCTGAGCAAAAACACAACAGTCGCTTCGAGCTTTTAAGAGGAAAATGCTGCACCAAGACTTAGTTTTTGTCACCCACAGGAGGTCAATCGATACTCGAGCACAAACAACGCGCTCGTCTGAAGCTGCTCCGTTAAATGCGAGTCTAATGGTGCTTTCAGATAGAACAAGTCAAAACCTCCCTGTGATTTAAACGGCTGAGTTTACCCTCAACAAAAAGGCTTTGGTTTTTGCATATTTGTCTGCAGAAGCCACAAAATGAAGTTCAGTAACTGAGTGGTTGTTGATTTAAAAACTCATACCCACTCTGTGTGGACTTGAGCAGAGTTGAAGCTTTTATTTGTGCCTTTCCAGGAAAAAAAAGATGAATAATTATTGCTTCAATTTCCAGAAATGAACAGAAACTGCAATTGTTTTTCTCCCTTTTTAAAGTAAATAATGAGGCTGTCAACTCAATCATCAACCAGCAGCTGTAGCCTCAGAAACAAAACAACTGCCTGTGCAAGTAAAACATAAAGGCATTTTTAACTGCGTGAATACAATACAACCTGCTTCAATAACAATCCTGTTAAAACAAATCTGACACAGCCACTCTTGGAAAAAAAAATAAAACAAAACAATACCTAAAGCAGAACAATGCAGGATCCACTTAGATGAAGAGGTGAAAATGGCATCCAAACATTATTTTCTGCGCTGTCTGTAACAAACTACAACACGCAGTCCTCCTTATGCAAACGTTAATGAGGCATGGAGAAGTTAGAAAATGGAAAATTTCATGCCTTTTACTTTGGTCATGTTTTATTTATAAGGTCGCTCACAAGCACAACAACATAAATAACAAAGACAGAAACTCCGCAAGTTTATAACAGCGTTTCTGTTTGAACTATTTGCTGCCCCTTTCCCCCCCATGACTCCACAAAAAAATGGGAAAACGCACAAAGACGTCTTGGAAAGAGTTTAACTGTCAAACACTWCAGACACAAAGGGAGGCCATTTACTTTAAGTGGTGATATTTTCAACACAGTTTGTTTGATTGGCATGTTATGATTGCATGTCTAGTTTTATTTAGATTTTTTTTCCAAAGCAATCAAAGTAAAGCATTATTGAAAAAGCATTTTTAAGACAAATTGTTTAGAAAGCTTAAAAACTTTTTGTATTGCCACAAATGTAAAATAAAAATCTGTGCGCTTTAGTCTTTTCTTTTATTTAATAAATTGGTTTGTGTTTGTTAAGAACGAGTCCGCAGAATAAAAGCGTCAAGCAGGACGGCGACTCACCGACGAGCAGAGCTTCCCTCTCGGAGTGAACAGGACTCGGTGAAGTCTTCTCTGTGGGACCTTTTTTCTCCTGACTGCAGGACACCACTGCTGAGAGCGTCACTTCCTACAAACACAGACACACGCACAGATTAAGATGACCCACACGCTGATGCACGGGATAAAAACACCACCAACACATCTAATCGATAAGAATAACGAGACGAGGGAGGAGGTCCAGCGTTCGGCCATATTTCCTAAAGACTGATGAACGCCGCACAAACAAGCAACGAAAACGAGATGCGATTAACGGGTAACGTATGGAGGGAGAGGGAAGAAAAGAAAATGATTAAAGCTGAATCTTTAACAAGTGTCAGGAAGCAACTGAAGACTTAGTTTATATTGTGCACCGTATGTTTTCCACTTACAGGATGATGTGGGATGCTGGTGCCCTTTTTCAGTTAATCTATTCATGACACCCCACCAGCATGTGCCAGAGTGTGGGGGCGTACGTATAAACATGTGCAAGCCATTTTCGCTTTATGACTTCTTTAGTTTAGGGTTACGCTTGGGAAATTTGTGCTTTGACAAATGTAGTTACGGCGAAACCAATTAGGCCTCTAATAACCTGCTTGTATCACAACAAACCGTTCCGGAGAGAAGGCGGTTGGGGGGGGG